CAATGATGTATCTAGCATAAAGATTAGATGTTAGATTTCACAGAAGTTACTTTACTCATTGTGAAAAGTTTACGACAATAACTATCATTGGAAAATTTCCAATAACGTAATGTTGAATTATAATCACATTAACGATCATAGATTATTCGTAATATTCGAACGTAATCGAAAAGTTTACGATAATAATTATCATTGGAATATTTTCAATAACGTAATAGTAAATTATAATCACATTAATCAAAGATCATTCGTATTATTCGATCGAAATCTAAATATAAACGATTGAAATGAATTAATGAAATAATGAAATAATAATATATATTATATATATATATATATATCATTCTGTAAATGAATTATGAATGATAAAAATTGAAATATATTCAATTAAAATTAATGATTTTTAATGTTAAATTTTTATATTAATTATTAATTATTACTATATTAATTAATAATTATTATTATGTTAATTAGTAATTATTATTATTTTTATTATTATTACAATTAATTATTGTTTATATAATAGTATTGTTACGTGTTATATGTTATATAATATTACTATATGTTTTAGTTATTTCTCGTTAATATATTAATTATTCATTATAATTAATTTTTTGTTTTTTTCATTATTAATATTTATTATTAATTATATTAATTTTTGCATTATTGATATTCATTATTAATGTCTATTCATTACATGAATATTTATTATTAATATTTATTCATTATATTAATATTTAATGAATTAGATTAATACATATATATATATATATATATATATATATGTATGTATCTATGTACAATAATATATATATCCTGAGCATATATTATTTATTATCTACTTTTTCTTTTTTTTTTCTTTTCTTTTCTTTCTTTTTCTTTTTTTTTCTCAACTCATTTTCTTTCATATCTCTCATAATTAATATCCATTACTTTAAAGTTTTTAATCATTTCTTCGAGATAATAGATGAATGAATAATCTAATCCGATATTATTATTTTGATATCTTATTATTTCATTTGACCCTATTTATTAGTTTCTATTCTAACGACGCTCATTCACCATTCGCCATTTTCTTTAACGATTATGTATTTTACGAATTTTTACATTTGACAAAAACCAGTCCCCAATTCCTGTTTTCAACGTTCAATTTATTCAACCGATTTAAGAATTCGCGCTACCTGCTAATGACGTCACTTCTTTAACTAGATATAGAAGTTTCTCGTTCGACATTTCCTAACATTTTTTTTTTGTTTCCTATTCCCTCTCTCTCTCTCTCTCTCTCTCTCTCTTTCTCTCTCTCTCTGTCTCTCTCTTTTCTAGTTTTTTTTTTTTTTGTATTCATTTTGACCTTATCATTTTATGATGTCTTCAAAAGAAAGATCGAAGAAACGACGTAAAGATATGGAAATGGATTTTTCATTTTTTTTGTTTTGTTTTGTTTTCTTTTCTTCTCTTTTCTTTTTGTTGTCGATATGTTATACAGAGTGATAATTTGTATGTCGATTGATTAAAGTGCATTATTGTCGTAAAAAAAAAAAAAAAGGAAAAATAGAAAAAAGAAAATAAAATGGAAAAAAAAAGAACAAGAAAAAAACGTAAATTTAATTTACTAACGTCGTGCAATAAATTGATTGTAAATAAAATCAGACATGTGCGATGAAAATTGATTTTACGTTCCACTTAATATAGCACGATTATTTAATAATGTATTATAAAAGAGTTTAGAAGAGACAAAGAAAAGGAAAAAATGGATAAGAAAGGTAAATTAAAAAAAATGAAAATTAGAGATGTTCCAATGACCGTGCATTAAGAAAAAAGTTAAGCTGATAATTTAATTTTGTTTAATTTTGTTTTTCTTTATTTTGATAACGAAACTTAAGACTTAAGACAAATTTTGTAGATCTTTTTTCTTGATTTGAAAGGAAATAAAAAATAAAATTTAATTGTATTCAACTTTTGCAAAATAATGTTCTTTTTTTTTTTTCTTTTTTTTTTTTTTTTTTTTTAATTTTTTTATTTTTTTATTATTTATTTATTTATTACGGAAAATTATTTATTAATTTTTCATGATTAATTTGATAATAAAAGTAGAAATATGTTTTTACTATTTAATAATTTAAAGTCAAAAGAATTAAAAAATTTTTCAAAATATAGAAAATTAATCTGATTATTATTTATTCGTTAGATCATTATCATAATTAACGAGCGCACGGATTTGATGGATAACATTTGTTTGCATTGAAAATGAAGTAGGGCACTTTCAACATCTAATGTGGGTTAGTATAACATGTTTATCATAGTATTTTATTACTAAACTTTATATGTATATATATATATATATATATATATATATATATATATATATATGTATATGTATATACAGGATGTTCAAAAAAAAATCATTCAATATTTATACAGTACATAAAACACACTATACGGAATAAAGAAGTATTAGTAAACATAGATCGAAAGGTCAAACTTTTTTTGAGATATAAACATGTTGCAGATTAATATACATATATATATATATATATATATATATATATATATATATATATATAAAATACTAACCTATATATATATTTAACCATAATAATGGATCTTCGTCAATTGATTTATGAGATATATATATGTATATTTACACCGTGTATGTTTAGAATAAATTTTCTTGCTCTTCTCGATGGTATATATTTTCTCTATATTTTTTTCTTTTTTTCTTTTTTTTTTTTTCTTTTTTTTCTTTTCTTTCTTTAATCCTTTTCATATTTTACTTTCGCTAGATTAATCTTTCGCAATTTCTTTCACGATATACAGGGTGGTATAATTTAATCAGAACGGATCAAGTGTCTTTGTTATTTGTGATTTTTTTTTTTTTTTTTTTTTAATGAAAAAAGTTCTTAGGAAAAAGTTACATCGTTTTGATGGATCAAATATAATGCTGATGATTTTTTGTTTGTTTGTTTGTTTGTTTGTTTGTTTTCTAAGGTCATTTCTTTTTCTTTTTTTTTTCTTCATTGGTTAATATTAAATATCGCTATAAAAAAAAAAAAAAAAAACATTTTACTACTATTTCTACTTATCAATGCTATCAATAAAAATTTTATCAAACGTGTACATTGTTTTTTTTTTTTTTTCTTTTTATAGAAATATTGACATCGAAATATTTTTTTAGATATAAATAGATTAATATTATTTGTTTTTATTAAATAATTAATAAATCAATTAATTAATTAATTAAGAGATGTATGGATTAACGTAATAAAAAGATATATGATTCCGTTAAAAGAAAACAAAAAAATGAGAAAGAAAACATTAGCGATTAGTATGAATTTTTTGAAGAAAAAAAAAAAAAAAAAAAAAACAAAAGAAAGAGATAAAAGAGAAAAGTAAAGAAAAATGATCTTGAAGAAAAAAGAAAACATAAATAACCAAAAAAAAAAAAATTTAGATGTTCCGAATTTAATGTCACACCCTATATATTTACTATATTTCCCAATTAAGTTTGAAGAATAGAATGAAATTATTTTCTCAAGAGAGAGTTATTTATTCATTTTATTTATTTGAAATCGTCGTTTGAAATGCAATTGGATGATCACAAAAAAAAAAAAAAAGAAAAACAAACAAACAAACAAGTTGATCGATATTTAATATCAAATAATATCATATTATATACTATTAATATGAATCTAGATTTAGATTTAAATTTATATTTAGATTTAGATTTAGATTTATGCATAGTAATATATTGGTATTAGATTCTTAAAAGAAGAAAATAAAAGGAAGAAAAAAAATAAAAAGAAGAAAGATAAAAAAAATGTTACAAACTCGTTAGAAAAGAAAACGTTATATTTACATTGAAATGTTAACGTTATATGTAAGATAAAATAGTAACTAGTTTTACTTACTTATATACTTACATTGTTATTCGCAATTACCTCGTAATATATATATATATATATATATATATATATATATATATATATACCTTTCGCCAGTGATATTTTCTATGCCGGTTTATTGCTGCCATTTATATGAAAAAAAAAAAAAAAAAAAAAGGAAAAGAAAAAAAAAGGAAATGTTTTACAACACTTTATTAAATGTTTTTTTATATCAAAAAATCTATCGTAAAAATATATCGTTATGTTAATAAAAATACGGTTTTATATAATAAAAAAAAAAAAAAAAAAAAAAAAAAAAAAGAGATAAAAAAGCCGGCTTTTCAATTACCACAGGGAAATATTACGAGCGCGCACTCTGTCGGAATAAATTGGAAACTATTGATACGATAACATATTCACACGTAAACACGTTCTCGTTGTTACCATTTGAGAATATTACCGACGCGTTTGAAATAAAAATCATTTATACGGATATACTTATTTTATAAATTTAATCATTGACAGTATTTAATGAGGTAATATGTTATTGCGAATGGGGACGTTTCGTAAAATTTTTACATAGTAATGTCAAGCTTCATATTAAATAATCATTACGAGGTTTATTTCTCTCATATCTTATACGTATACATTATCATAATGATATCATTATTCTTATTAAATCGACGAATTATTATTATATAAATGAAATTCATTATTTTTAACGAAGCGTTAATTCGTCAAATTAAATTTATAGAGAGAAAGGTAATCACAGTACATTAATTAATGTTAAAAAGACGGGACAAGAATCATTAAAAAGGAAAAAGAAATGTAAATTAAAAGTAAGTAATCAGCTCTTTTTTTTTTTTTTTTTTCTTTTTTCGTTATTAAGCTTCATTATAAAGGGTTCGGTAATAAAGAGAAAAAAAAAAAGAAAAGGAAAAAAAAAAGAAAAGGACATGCCAGTGTTTAACGTTAAAGAAAGAATGAAAGGAAGTTCGTGTCAATTTCTTTTTAAGTATACAATGTTAATTAATTATTTTGTAATAAATCAATCGTTTGATTTATTTTACATATACATATATATATATATATGTATGCATAATGAATTTTTTTAAAACTGTTGTAACGAGATTGCTAAATTTGAAAAAGAAAAAATGATTACGTCATTGCGTTCGAGGATCCTTCGACGAATTTTTAATTTCCTTTTTATCGTAAGTTAGCTGAAATAAAAAGAAAGAAAATAGAATTAAATTCATTGCCATAAACACATCTAATTGGAAAAATTGATCAATGAAAGATAATTAATTTTTTTTGTACTTATAAATTTTATGTCAATAAAATAAAATAATTATCGAAAAATCTAAGATAATTATATAAGTATTATTGTAAAAATTTATAAACTTGTATTATGAATTTGTATTTAAGAAAAAAAAAACAAAAAAAAAAAAATTATCAAGAATTTTTAATACAATTTAAACATTTATTTTGTATGTATAAAACCAAATGATAGTTCAAAAATATAAAATATATAAGTACGATCATATTAATTTATACGTCATTAAACTTATATTAAAAAAAAAAAAAAAAAAAAGAAAAAGAAAATGGATAAACTTTGAATACAAATTAACAATTAATTTTACGTCAATAAAATGAAACAATGGTTACAAAATGTAAATAAAAATAAATATAAAAAAATATAAATAATATAAAAAAAATGTAAATAAATATGAAAAAAAAAATGGGAAAACTTTGGATACAAATTAACAATTAATTTTACGTCAATAAAATGAAACAATGGTTACAAAATGTAAATAAAAATAAATATAAAAAAATATAAATAATATAAAAAAAATGTAAATAAATATGAAAAAAAAAATGGGAAAACTTTGGATACAAATTAACAATTAATTTTATGTCAATAAAATGAAACAATAGTTATGAAATGTAAATAAATATAAAATAAATATAAATATTAAAAAAAAAATATAAATAATATAAAAGAAAAAATGTAAATAAATAAAAAAAAAAAAGAAAAAAAAAAGAAAATGGAAAAACTTTGAATACAAATTAACAATTAATATTACGTCAATAAAATGAAACAATGTTTACAAAATGTAAATAAATATAAATACTCATATTAAATATAAATTTCAAAATTATCAATCTTACGATGAATTAAAATAAAAATAATATCCCTGTACGCGAAATATCGTGTCTTTCGTAATACGAAAATATCATAAGTCATTAAAAATAATATGGATAAATATAAATACGTTTTCAAAATTATCAATCTTATGATAATAAATTAATAATTATAATATAAAAATAATAAATTAATAAAATAATAATAATAAATAATGATAATAAATTAATAATATTAAAATAAAATAATATTCCTGCACGAGATAATATCGTATCGTTCTTAATTTAACAATATTACGACCGATATGTCAATTTTTTTTCTTCCCCCTTCCTTTTTTCGTATGGTAAACTATCATCAGGTAACATCATAGAATAATTTCGTAATAAAATTAAAAAAAAAAAAAAAAAAAAAAAAAGAAATAAATAAATATACATACCATTTGGCAATCGTAAATGGTTTACAGGAATCGGTCGGTCTGTCGTAGATCATTCCCGTCGTGCATCTGACTAATTGCGGTCTACCAGTTCTGCAAACAAGTACGCTTGTACAAGTTTCATCGAGTTTATGGAGATCCCCATCGGTACATGGAATTTTACTCATTGACGCCGGTATAGTATGAAGTATAGTCCATGGATTCGTTATACTCGAAGATTCCGATAATTCCTCGATTATTTCCGGTTTCCTCGAGGCCGTACTATCCCTTTCTTCTTCCTCCTTTTCTAATTCTCTATCGTTGTTGCCGGTACGTTGCTGCCATAATTCACCGTTGACGTTACTAACCCAAGAACTACCGAGATAAGGAGAACTTGGTCTTGTTGGTTGTTGAGGAATGTAAGATGGTTGTTGGGTCGGATAAGGAGATTGCGATGGATAAGATGGAGGATATTGAATAGAAACGGACGATTGTGACCAAGATTGAGTCGTTGATTGTTGAGGTTTTGGCGTTGCACTACCTTTACAGTCGACGTTACGTAGATAATCGCATACTCCCAATTCCTGACGGAAAATAATATTTAATATGAAATTAAACAATCAGTAATAAAATTAACAATGAAATAAAATCGAATAATATTGAATATTTATGCGTTTACGTATTGTATATGAAATAAGAGATAGCTCGAAAAATTGGTGATATCTGAAACTACGAAAGAAAAAAAAAAAAAGAAAGAAATAACAAGAGATTCAAAAAATAAATTCGGTTCATAGATTCGTTCGATATAAAGAGAGACATTAATTATATGGTGCCAATTTTCTTTCCTTCTCTTTTCATTTTTTTTGTTTTCTTTTTTTTAAATTTCGATGATTAATTCATTTATTTATTTTTCTTTTTTATTTAATATCGAACTATATGTGCGTATATATATATATATATATATATATATATATATATATATATATTCTTTTTTTTTTCATAATTCAATGACATTTTTTTTTCCTTTTTTTGAGATAAACGGAATATACGTGTATACATACGTC